TCTTACCAGGTGATAGGTGCTGAAGACTGTACAACAGTATTCAATAACACCCTGTTCAACACCAAAACCATGCCTCAACATCTTACCGACCTTCCTTCGGTCATCCAATACACTGACGACCTCATCAAGGTTAGAGATCTACAGATGACCCTGGATAGGAACGCAGATGCTTGTAATGGGTTTTATAAAGATGTTTTGGGGGCGTTGAACAAGGATCTGAGAGAGACGTTTGACGGCATGAAGGATTTGGAGGTGCCCGCCGAAGCAGCTTGGGCCAGTGTCGTCAGAGGTAGCCTTCTCCTCCAACGCGAGTCGCACCAATTCTATAACAATCTCGCCCTCAGATCCAAACTCCCCACCACCCTCTCTTCCCAAGACGACGAAGAAAGTATTCTTTCTCTAGCTGGGCACTGGCACAAAATGCGAGAGTTGGCGCACGGCGTGAGTGTCTGGAAGGGGAAAGTGTTGGATTCGATCAACGCTGGTCTTTCTGATATCGATCCTCATACATCTTGGCAAACGTTTGTGTTGAATGGGAACAGACTCAATAGCTTGCAACCTCAAATCGTCAAAGAACTACCAGAAGGGAGCATGGACGCTGAGACTGGTCTGCCGGTGGGCCCTAAGGCTTACTGGCAAGTCGAGATGTTTTCCATAGCCGACGTTTCGGGAGAAGAAGGAACACGACATATCGAACCTCACGTCACATTCACCACCCACCCCAACTCATTTGCTCTCCCCGAGTACCCCACCTTCTCCCACGCAAAGTGGTTCAACAACGGCCCAATACCGAATGGCGCTACATCCTGCCAAGAGGACACCGGTAAACCTGGATCGCTGTATATTTATACGACAGGGCGGGATATATCGCTTGCAATGCAGTATTCTGATGTCTTGGCGGATCTGGCCTGGGATTGGGGTGAGTCGTTGTTGAAGACCAGAGCGGAGTTAGATACTGGTTGGGCAAACTTGCGAAAGATGGTCGAGCGTTTGAGCCTACTCAACTTGATGTTTTGCGAGACCTCGCTGATGAAGAAGGCATACTGGAAGAAGCGAAAGGGCCGATCTATAATGTCATCAAAAATTTATGGTCTAGAGTCGAGGACGCCCATCGGGAGGACCGACACGAGGGGACAGAACGCATCAGATCGTCTCTCCAAGACATGAGCGAGATATCTCAAGACCTCGCTCAAAGATGGCTCCACACTGCTCAGTTGGTGAATACTTTGGACATCATGCAGTCTCGCAGGGCCATACTGGACAGGCAAATGTTTATGGCTGAATCTGAAGGCGCTTCTTTGGAGATCAGCTCTCAGCTTAACAACGTCGACGAAGAGATCACAAAACGAAGACCCGCTGTAAAGGAGTCCAAAAAGAGTCTGAGGCAGGCGTTTGCCGAATACGGGTTGTTACCCATACCGAACGATGTGGAAAGTCTTATAAGTGCTCTGAGATCCCAAGACGGGAAGGATAGTATCGAGATAGTAGATCAGATGGGAGAGGAGCGAGACGATCAGCCTCCTGTGGAAGAAGACGATATACACGCCATTCTAGAAGCCAGTCGCCTCTATAGGCCTAGTGGTCAGTACATGGGTCGAAGCGTCTTTGATACTCCCATATGGAGTGATTTTAAGATTATAGATGAGAACACTTTTCAGTCTACCGTGAGTCCTGTTCTTATGTCACCCAGAAATCAACTGAGGCTTCATCGCCAGCGCGCCGACGGGTACATTGATCATACGACCTTTGTCATCGCTCCTCCTGCCGAGCTTGAGCTTGCAAGAGAGATTAAGAGCGGTGAAGAATGCCTATCTGGATACTCTTCAGCGGATACATGAGCTAGAGAGAGTGGCAGAGACCGGACCAACGTGAAGAGATAATAATAGTCGGCTTTGAGATGGAGGTGCTGCTCGAGGCTTTCATGAAGCTGCCAGATATTGGCCTGAATCACTTGTAACATACTTTTGATAGTAGGTGAATATGTTTTACGATGCATGTGCATATGTTGTTCGTTGTTGGCACGGCTTTAAGCATCTCGGCGGCGGCCGTCTGTCGGCGTTTTGCGAATGACAAATATTAGGGAGTCGCATCTTAAAGTATCCATCTCTTTCAGCTTCTCTTTCTTTCTCGATCTTCTCTACCTCTCGAGTACGCCCACCAACACGTCCACTACAGACCGCGACCCTCTCCGTTTGCGCTTATCCGCCCTCTTTTTCGTCCTCGCTCTCGCCGCCGCCGTACTCTCGCAGTACCCGTCCATGCTCAGAAGCCTGTTCGCCTCTTTCTCTACTACCCCTGCAAAACATACCATGGTCAACTTCAAGACACCCCCAGGACCTACCGTTCCCACGGCCGTCAAGGCGAGGGAAGAGCTCAAAGCCGGTGAAGGAGGTGCGTCTGTCTCTATCGTGGAGTCACACGATCGGATCTGATTAATATGGGTTTGCAGTGGAACATGCTACATTCGCTTCAGGATGTTTCGTGCGTCTCGTCATCAAGAACAAGTGCCCAGGCTGATGAAAGGGTTGGGAATAGTGGGGCACAGAGCATCTATTTACCAAGCATTTCGGCAACATTCCTAACTTTTCTGCCATATCCGGCTACACCGGCGGTCAATCCGACTCCCCTTGTACGCCACCATCCTCTCTTCACTTTTACTGAAGTAGAAAACAAATTGACAAACCCTCAGCCTATCGCCAAGTATGCACCGGCGCCACCGGCCACGCCGAAGCCGTCAACCTCACCTATCCCACCGGTTCCATCCCCTACGCCGAACTCGTCGAATTCTTCTACCGCACCCACGACCCCACTACTGTCGACCGTCAAGGACCTGATACTGGTTCGCAGTATAGGAGTGCGATCTTTTATAATAACAAGGAGCAGGAGGAGGTGGCGAGGAAGGTTACGGCGGAGGTGCAGGAGAAGTAGTACGTTTCGTCTTTTCTTTTGAGGATTGGGGATCGGGTGGGGAGGTGAAGGGCTGGGGTTTGGAGAAGAAGCTAACAGAGAGCTTGAAGTTTGAAAGGCAGACCGATAGTCACTCAAATCGCCCCAACTGGGAAATGGTTCAAGGCCGAGGACTACCACCAACACTACCGTAGGTCTCCTCTATCTTATCCCGTGTCAAGGGACCCTCTGGTGAAGAGCTAATCTTGGATGTAGTGGATAATAACCCCGGCGGATACGAATGTCCCACTCACCGGTTCTATTGGTAGTCGAAAAGATCAGTATATCGCGATGGCGCTTGAGGCTGTAGATGGAAGGGAGGATGGAAGGGAGGATGGAGGCGAGGCGGATGAGCAGATGGAAAATGGATGCTAGACATCTTCTCTATATGTATCAATGCCGCTGAAGGATCCCGTGCTCCCATCGCCGTGAGCCTATGAATCATGGTTTCTTCACATTGCTACACATACGAGTACTCGACTATTATTGTACTGTATCTCCACCGCTTGTCATTGCCGCTCTTGTTCACGTCGAGTATTTCTACAAGAAATATCAGACTACGCACAAACTTTTCCTTTCCTTCGAGCCAAGTCACGAGCTGACATGCCATTCCCTTTTTGGCGCAGAGGATCATCCTTCTTGATGAGCTCACGCAACACCTTCCGTCTCGCTCTCTGCTCCCGCCATCTCACAACTTATCGCCTCTTTGATGATCTCTACTGGGGCGAAGGGCTACTTGTGTCCACTGGGCTCGGCCATCAAGCCCTGAGCGGCAGCCTCCTCGTGGTCGGCATGAGGAGGTGAAGGTGAGGCTTCGGAGACGTCCTTCTCTCCTACATCCTCTTCGTCGCTGGCAGCACCCTCTGACACTCCCGTACGCCTCGCCATAAACTCAACTTCGATAGTCGATTTGGTCTTGTTTGAACAGCGCACGCTCTTGACTTTTTTGATCCCGCCACTCAACCTACTCGTAGAGTCTGGTACGAGTACTAGACACGGGCTTTGCGATGGCACTCTAGTAGTAGAGTATATGCTTATGGAGATGCCCTGTATGGGGTTATGTATAGGCGCGGTGACGGGACAAAGTCTATTGGTACGGGCGGCGGCACTGAGAGGATGATGAAAACATACACGCTCGCTAAGGCTCGTTCAACACCCTTCCTGTCCTTGATAGATATTTACTTTAACTTATGACCGTATTCCAGCTCTTTCAAAGCAGATGATACATCATACTGGATACAAATATGACTTCTTTCCCTGTTATCTTTTCTCCTAGACCTCCAACAGATTATTGGTTGAAGAGGTCCTTGGCCTTGTCGGCGATAGAAGACTGGTTGTCGTTCTTGTTACCAGAGACGGCGTCACCAATCTCCTGGCCATAAGACTTCTGGGATTGGGGCTGGCCGGTAGAGGCGGCAGACTATCCACATGTCAACACATGTCCAAGAGAGAAAGAGGGAAGAAGACTCACGTCAGCCTTGCCCTTGATGGTGTCACCAGCCTGCTCGACGTAAGACTTCTCAGAGTCGGGCTTCAAGGCGGCTCCGGCCTTGTCGGTGAAAGATTGCCTGGCAGCGTCGGACATTGTTGATATAGTTTGTGTGTGTGGATGTGGGTGTGTGTGGTGAAAGGAAGTTGTTGATGAAAGAAAGGAATTCAGATTAATGGGTTGTTTATATATGCATTCGGGAAGCCGTCTGACGTGCTGTCACCTGTACACTGACGTAGCTGCCCCAGGAGATCAATGACGATCGGGTGGAGATCCCAGGTGGAGACGCGTCATAGGGGAACGGGAGTGGAGGCCGGAAACAAACAACGGGACCAAAAGAATCCCATCGAACACTTGCATTCTCTATGACGCGGGGCGGCGTATGGGCTGACGTCAATGCGCACTCTTTTTCGCGTGCTTTAAAAGCGGACAACTTCTGCTTTTTGCATCTTTCTCCCCATCATCTCACGACTTGCAAACACTTTCACGCACACACACAAACAAACACACCACAAAGTGAGTCAACCAATCTTTGAAGGACGGGCAAAGGCTAACGAGAAGCAGAATGTCCAACCCCCAAGATCTCCTCAACAACAACCCCGGTCTCGACACCAAGCACGACTCTGCTGGTGCTAAGCACCCCGACCTCAACACTGCCGGTGCGTCCTCCCTACCTACTTGTCTTCCATCATCGTCTAACGCTTTCTTAGGTGGTAACCCCAAAACCAACACCGAGTTCGAGTACGCCCCCGAAGGCGCCCACTCCCGACTTGATGGCAAAGACCAGCGTACCCACGGCTCCGCCCTCGCCGACGCCAAGCGTGTCGAAGAGCTCGAACAAAAGGTCCAGGCCCAGCACGAGGAGGCTTTGAAGCACCCCACCAGCGTCGCTACCCAGCACGGTAACGAGCCGTCGAGGGGTGCCAAGAAGGATGAGCAGTTGGTGGAGGATGAAGAGGAGGAGTTGAAGAAGAAGGATGAGGCGAAGAAGCAGTCTCAGGAGGCCCACAAGCCCAAGCACCACTAGGTGAGAGGCGAATAATGATAAGGGGTTTTATACTGTAGCATAGCGCATCATCTAACGTATAGTCATTTTGCATGGGTTTTCTTTTGCATGACAGGTTCGAGGCAACGTTGCAGGCGTTCGAGAAGATGACGGACACACACGCCAGGTGCGGTGACTGACCCTGGGGACGAATCGGTGACTGGCGACAGGTGAGTACCATCCTAATGCCCAGCCGGCTCCATGATCCAAGAGTTCACAAATCACAACTTCCATACGACTTACCAATACAGTATCTGCTCCACTTTCTATACAATCATCAACATCATCTTCATCACTTAATGCCACAGTGGGACCTTGGCCGTTCCTGCAACACTAATGTTCGACCCAGCCAAACTCTGCTTTGGGGATTGTTGAGAACCAGTTGAAAAAGCCGGCAAAGAAGCAGTCCAAAAAGCCGGCCCTTGACCGCCGAATCCAAGCGCGAGCAGTGGACGATGGAGATGAGGATGAAGGTGGGGGGGATCAAGAAAGGGAGAAGGGACGAGCATCAGTATTTATTAACAGTCGTCCACACCGTGAGCCTGCGAGAAACTCTCCGAGAACCATGCTGTGCTGATGAATCCTGGTAGGGAAATCTGACATTGACGACATCCCAAGCGCTGCTTCACCCCACCACCTTGCCGAACAGACGGCCAAATCGCACAAAAGTCGAAATGACATTCAACACTATTATGTAACCCCGGCTGCAAGGAAAAATCTGCAAAAACGAAAGAGAGTTGTAAAGCAGGCAGAAGATGCAAACAGGATTGCGAAGAAGAGATTGATTTTGGATATCAAATCGGCGGAAGGTTGTTCGTGGGCGGAAGCTGAGGCCAAGTATAATGAGTAGCGCGATTTCTTCTTCCTGTTTGATGGATCACAATGCAGAGAGGAAGATGGAAAGAGCATGATGGGAGAGGTCGTTTGAGGGAATCGAATATTTGTACGGTACTGTACAAACCTCAATCCACCGACGGGCGACAAGCCGACAGATAGGCCATCTCCGAAACACCGCGCGTTATCTCCCAGCCATCCCGCGATCCCGACTTCTTTCCACCGTTCCCCTGTTAGCGACTTAGCGTCGTCAGGCTCGTCGCCTATTGGTCATACATGTATCGGCGACAGGAGATATCCCGGAGTGGGGTATATAAAGCATCCCATCATCCAGCTTCCCTCTTTTGATCCATACATATACCAAAACGCCAATCCAAGCAACAAAAACAATAACAATGTCCGAAAAGCTCTCCTCTGAACAGTTCCCTCCCAAGCCTCACGGATGTACGTCCTCCTCCCCCCTCTCCTTTTTGGTACAGGGCTAATGAAGATGCTTCTAGCTGTTGCTGCCAAGCTCCCCGGCCTCCTCTTTTGCGGTGGTCAGATTGGGCAAGGCGAGATCAAAGAGGCCACCGTACGTCCCTTCTCCTCTCTTTCTCGGAAGCTCGATGAATACTGATGGATGCTGTGATGGGTAATAATAGTTGAAGGCATTGACCAACCTCAAGGCTGTTCTCGAACTCGGAGGCTCGACTTTGGAGGATGTCGCGAAGGTCAACAGTACGTTCTCCATGTCCTTCTCATCTCCCTCGACCCCTTCTCTCTTCACCTTGCTCTCGTACCCCAGATCAGAATACTAACCCAGAACACAGTCTTCCTCAAGAACATGGACGACTTTGAGGCCATGAACTCGGTCTACACCACCTTCATGCCCACGCCCAAACCCGCGCGGACATGTATCCAGGCCGGCCGATTGCCCGGTGGTGAGACGACTGCTATTGAGATCGAGTGCATTGCCCGGGCTTAAGTCTCGAGGCTTCAAAACTCAAGGGGAAGGAGGTAAAAGAAGAAGAAGAAAGACGGAGAAATGAGATAGAAATATGTCTCGGGCTACCGACGCGACTTGTTACATTACAACATGAATCACGATCTTCTTCTCCTCAGTGCAAGCCCGCCCCCCTGCAGCCGGACCCGACTACTTCACCTCTCCAGACAACAATCACCATTCTCCGGTAGCATTCTGCCGCGTGTTTGGATGCCATGACGCCCTTCTTCACAGCGTCCTCAGTCCTTACTCTCTAGAGCTTGCCGAGCGACTATCGATCCCTTAGAGCGAACAGCTTCTTCTCAACATCGAAGTGTTGAAGAGATTGGAGAGTCTGGTTGAACGTATATGCGAATGTACTCACGGGAAGACGATTGCTGAAGCGCTAGGGAAGGGCGCTGGGAGATCTTCTTCCACTACTACCGCCCCCACCCACAACAGTGTCGCAGAAGATATCCCGTCACGCAATGGCCCCTCTGGCAAGATCGACAAACGCATTTCCCTCCACTGGTACATCAGTGCCCGACGGAGGCAGCAAGCCGGGTGACCGACAAAGATATCATGAACTTGACGCTTTCAATGCGTACAACCGTTCTTCGCCAGAAGAAGGCACAAACAATCCTGGCGGAGACGTTCATCGGGTCCACAATGCCGGGGAAGAAGGTAACGAAGCCGCAAGTAAAGCAAGGGTCAGTCTGGGTATTATCTCAGGAGCAGCGCATCAGGTAGGAGAGGACGACGATGTGGGTGGAGAGAGTGATAACGAGGCTCCTCAAAACGGTGAGCGTTGGCTGTTTCCCGGACAGGACGAAAAACTGAGGTGTATCTGCAGAGATACACTCCTGGGCCCGTCGCTCTGCTATGTCTTTCCGTGCGCCAGAATTCTTCCCTCCCTCATCCCCCCCAGACAATCAACCCCCATCGCCCAACGATTCTGATTTGCTGAATGATCTCGATGACGCTTCCGCCATGGGGACAGGATGGTATGAGGAGTTTGGTGTACCGCCATCCTCGTTCAACCTAAACCCTGTATTAGAGTCCACTATGGATGCGATACTCGAGAGAATCTTCAGTGGGCAAGATCCTCTTCCGTTTATGGAGTCTGAGGGATTGTCTAGGATGAAGGAAGGATCGGGGGATACTAGGGGATGAATGCTGACTCATTTTCGCGCGCAGAGGGGTGGGAGGAGGGCAAGCAAAGGGAGAGACTGAGGGAGACTGAGGGAGACTGAGGGAGACTGAGGGAGACTGAGGGAGACTGAGGGAGACTGAGGGAGACTGAGGGAGACTGAGGGAGAGATCTGGGGGATTAGCGGGTGTACTCGTATATCCCGGGGAGGCGTGGTACTATATGCACCTGTCCCTTTCCTCCACCAAAGCCCAAAATTGACAAAGCGCGAGCATGTTTGCATGACTGTCAACAATCTCTCGTCATCTATCCGTCTTCGTCCACTGCCCGATGGCTACCCAACGACCTCTGCACTTCATTGCCCCTTACTTTTCAATCTCTTCCTCACGCCCCTCATGCTCACTGACAGGTAACACATCAACAGAGACGAGATGTGTCTTGCTATCAAAAGCCTGAGAGATCTCTTCCAGCGTGTATCCCTTCGTCTCCACCATATCTTCATTTCCATTAGCTCCGTCCACACCCAGAGAGGAGAGAAGAGCATACTCGTACAGTACTCCAGTCGTACTCGTAATAAGTCAGGATCCACTGAATGACGACAAGCGGCATATAGACAGCATAGTATTTTCACCCAATAGAGTCGAGAGCGACGGCTTCGACAAAGGTTGTATAGGCGCCTTCGAATTGTTGGACAGTGTTCCATACGAGGAGACCTTTACTTCGCATGGAGAACGTTTGCATCTCCGTGGGGTCTACGACCAAATCAGCCTCTAGTAGTAGATGATGATGGATGAGCCAGACATCTGCATAGATGTCAGTGAGGGTTCGCTGAAAGGGAAGGGGACGTACGGCAGTGAGAAAAGTCATAAGCATGGCCAACCCGAGCCTATGCCTATTCGCAGGACTCTTCAAGATGACACCCCACCTCTCCGCTTTCGCCTCCTTCTCCTTCCTGATCGCCTCCTTCATCTCGGCATACTCGAACAACACCAGCGCATCCTGCCTATCCCCATTCCCGTGATAAGTGACCAAAAAGTCAAACGCCCAAAGGGCATGTCGCATGAACTTCCGGCTCATAGAAGAGTCGGTCCCTCGTGAGGTTGAGAATTACTACGTAGGATGATGTCTTCTCCCGAACCACCCTTTTGGAACATGTATCGTGTCTCATCTCTACTTGACCTTCCAGATGTCCCTTTCTGTCATACTGCATCACATCCGTCCCTTCAACCAGGTCACTTCTTCGATGCATCGAGCACGCTGGCCGCTGCCGAATACTGGAGCAAGATGACGACGCTTTGGTTATTCGGCCCGCCACCTGATCCCCACTGTCCGCCAACGCCTCAAAAATACCCTTGGGGTGGGCGACCAATGGCATGTACCACTACCCTGTCCACTCCATCCATGACCGGTGAATCCGAAACAACGGATAGCGAAGACTGGAAACGGAGGTCCGCCAAGTGCCACATCAGGGAAGTGCCTGCGATTGTGACTGTGCCTAGATCAGATTGCCTTTTTTTCTCCGCTCCATAAAATCCCCCTCGCCCCATCGCATTTCTTTTCTCTTCTTCATCCCCACCTTTTCTTGTCCACTTTCTACTCTCTTCAGATTCGAGGTTAGTAAGGATCAGCCAACACACTGCAAAATGCGGTAAGAGCGCAACAACACCGACAACGGTCAAAAAATCTCCACTTCCACAAGGAAAGGCTGTTTGCACACGACATCAAGGCTCCTTCCTCGCTCTCTGCCTCCAAAAGCCTGCACCCCAACCCTAACCCCATGTGATTTGTGTGATAAAAGAGGTCATAGCAGGAGGAGTCGTGGTTGAAGAGCAACACGGGTGCCAGGTTCTCGCCTTTTATAGCCGGCCTTCTGTCTAGAGGGCTGGCTGGGTGGACCTGAGCTGAGATCATACCGTTGAGCGGAACAGGATAATGCCTGCGTCGCTAGTTGCTTTCATAGATCGGAGTGCTCACTTGTTTGCAGCAAGATGGTAGCGCCAGACTGGCAGAATATGTGAGTTATGCCCCGTCTTTTCCCGAAGAGTGTCGCCGCTGACAGGTCTACGCAGTCCCAATGCGTCCGATCACCTCAAATGGTATCATAACAAGGGTACAATCAAGCTCAACTTGTGAGCTGGCCTCGTGTTCCGCGATCAGACTTTCGCTGACGTGCTACGTAGTTTTTTGAGTGTCATCTTCGTTGGCATGTTCCTTAATGGCTGTATGTCGTGTGTGTTTGGCATGCTCAGCAGCTGATCCAATACACAGACGACGGCAGTCTTATCTCCGGTCTCCAATCTTCCGACTACTGGAATGAAGATCTCAACTATCCCGAAGGCGCCCGACTTGGTCTTTTGAACGCTATCGGCTATATTGCTGGTTTCCTCGTCGGCCCGGTCATTACCTACATCGACGAGCAGTGGGGCAGGCGATGGGGTATCCGATGTAAGCTCTTGTCACTTGCTCTGTGTCCATACACTGACTTGGCATAGTCTATGGTGTCACTATCCTGGTAGGAGCCGTCATTGGCTGTATTGCCGGTGCCTCTGGCGCTTCTGGTAACGCTGGTTATGGCCGTGAGTCGATTGCCTATACATTTGCGTGGCACAGCTGACGCAAAACTTAGTCTTCCTTGCTGGTCGATTCATCATCGGTCTCGGTCTCACATCCTTCTTGATGACCAGTCTTGCCGTCGTCCAGGAGATCACCCACCCCCGAACTCGAGAAGTCATCGCAGCGTCCTGGGTATGTTCCCTTTACAGTCACCCTTCCTGCTCCATACTGACTCGTACTAGAACTCGTACTACATCCTCGGCAACGTTGTAGCCGCCTGGGTCGTCTTTGGCTGCAGCTACATCACCAGCTCCTGGAACTGGCGTATCCCCTACATGATCCAAGTCCCCATCGCCCTCTACCTCCTCATCGCCGTCCAATTCGTGCCCGAAACCCCGAGGTTCCTCATGGACAAGGGCCGCGTCGACGAGTGTTTCGACTTTTTGGTCGAGTACCATGGCAACGGCAATCGCCAAGACCCATTGGTGTTGTTTGAGTTTGAGGAGATGAAGGAGGCTATTGCGTTGGAGAAGGAGGCAAAGGCGCAGAAGTGGAGTACTATCTTTAAGGATAGGTCGAACAGGCACAGGTTGGGCTTGACGTTGTTGATGACTTTCTTGACCAACGTCAGTCTACCCTTGACCCTCTCCCAAACTTCAGCTGACATTCCAAACAGTTGTCCGGTTCTTCCATTATCTACTTCTACTACACCATCGTCTTTGACTCTGTCGGCATCACTGACGCCACGACTCAAACGGGTATCAATGCCGGTCTCGCATTCTTCACCTGGTTCTGCCAGCTCGGCGCAGTGTGGACTGGCAAATACATTGGCAGGCGCAAGATTATCCTCTGGGTCTGGGCGTTCCTCCTCTTCTCCCTCGTTGGCCTTTGTGCTTCTAGCGGTGTCTACGCCAAGACCGACAACGGTAACACGAGCGCTGGTATCGCTACCGTAGCGCTGGTCTGGATCTACCTCGGGTTCTTCAACTTTGCCTGCCCCATCTTGTACTCTTGTACGTCTGCTTCCACACACGGTTGCTCACATGCTAACCCATGGTGATAGATCCCGCCGAGATCCAGACTTATTCTATGCGAAGCAAAGGTCTTCTCGTTTGGAGTACTGTCCAGCAGTTTCAAGGTGCCTACGTCGTCTTTGTCGATGCCATCGCCCTCGACGCTATCGGCTACAAATACTACGCTGTGTACATGCCTCTCGTCATCATCCAAGTCGCCCTCGCCTACTTCTGTAAGCCTCCCTTACCCATATCTATGCCTGCATACGGTGCTGACTTGATTACTAGATATGGTCGAGACGAGAGGCTACACGCTCGAGGAGATTGCGACTGCCTTCCATAGCAAAGAGAGTCTCACTCTGGTCAATGTGTTGCCGGCTGCTGAGGAGGAAGGTTTTGTGGATGAGGAGACCTACTTTAAGGATAGGAGGAGTACCGAGGCTGCCAACAAGTAGTCATTGTGAATCTCGAAGCGACCGTTGTGACTGGGATTGGGAATGAAGGCGATGAGGTGTCTATAATGTCTGGATCTGTGCTTTTTGAGTGCTATGCAATGGGAATGTTCTTGACAATCAGCCGGTCTCCACACGTCGCGTGCAACAGAAGATGTTTGACCCGACTATTCCTTTCGCTATATCATTCCTGATAACCACCCCTTCGTATGACCCTCCGTATCGTTTGGGCGCATACAGCATATAAGCACATGCGGCCAGAACAACTGCGACGGGAGGATGCACCCCCTGCCAATATCCGCCCTCCCTTCGACTTCACCTCCACGCCGACCGCGCCACCTCCCAAAGACGACCTCGTCGCCAATGTCCTCTACGCCGCCCAGTTCCCAATATTCCTGAAGTACGCCCCAGGCTCAGTCGAACGGGCCTTCATCTGCAAAGTCGACGATGTCCCTCTCCCATCACGAGCTTTACCAGAACCGGGCGAACTTCTGGGGCCCGCACCACGACAACAATTGTGACGAGATGTACCGCGCCCTTCTGGCAGTCCCCAACACAGTGCTCACACGCGAGCCCCATTAAATTGAGTCCACGGGCGCCATCGCAACGACCTCCGAATTGCAGGCAGATCCCGCCTTGGGCAATTTGACTGTGACCTGAAGATCAACCGCCCAAACATCAATGAAACCCATCTACATTGCGCGCTTCCAGACCCTGTGAGTTTGCAGAGCAATGGAAGAACTGCATAGCCTCAGAGCCAACCACAGGGGACGGCCCGCCGAATCTCCCAGGCACGCTAACCAATTTCTTCCTCAGCCATCATCTTGCCATTGATCCCCTGCATCCCATTTCCCTCGCCTCCCATCCCCCCTTCTCCTCTCCCCCCGCCAGTTATGCCCGCCGTAAAAAAACAGACGTCTTCCTCCGCGTCCTCCTCCACCGTCGTCCAGCGCACCAAAGCCTCTCGGTAAGATCGCCAGCCTCAGACCATCCCCGCAACGCGGATCCAGCTGATACCTTGGCAGGTCCAAAAATGGTTGTTTGGTTTGCCGCAGCAGGAGAGTCAAGTGCGATCTCGGGAAGCCAGAGTGTGAAAAGTGTAAAAAGTATGGAACAGAGGTGCGTGAGAATCATGCCGCGACTTTGGAAAGAGAGCTCATGGACAGCAGTGCGCGTACCCGGAGAAGAAACCTTACGACAAGCAGGAGATAGCAGACAAGCTATGGAGACGACACCACCAAGCGCCCCCGCCTTCAGCAAAGGCAGATCCTTTTGAAGATGCCCCTCAGCAGCCGATCCCGCCTCCGCCTCCGCCTTCTCTGGCACGAAAAGTGTCAAGAGGCCGTGATCTTTCTCCTGCTGCACCGTCCCCCTTGTCTACCTCCCGACCGACATCCTCCATCCGTGCATCGAAACACAACAATTCCCCAAATGGGATGTTTGTCGTGCAGTCGAGAAAGCTGGACCCGTTCGAGCTGTTGATGGCGCTTTGTCGGGATACGCGGATGGGACAGTTCTTTTCTGATCCTGTCGACCCGCCAGATTTCTTGCGAGAGGCTTTCCCAGATGCTGATGAGTTGCGATGCGTAAGCTACAATTCCTGGTATATCCTCCCACTGACGCATCGCACAGTTTCACCATTGCTTTACATACACTCTGTCCACTTTTGTCACCCACGAAGAAGTCAATCCATGGATAGACTATGTCGTCCCGCTTCTCATGTTCCCTTCAGGTAGCGCACCCATGAGTACCCAGGCGTTGAAGCTAGGGATACTTGCCACTGGTGCGGTACATCTAACATCGTAAGTCTTTTCCGCTTGTCATGCACGCCAAACTGACCGTCTACAGGCTCGAAGAGAAGGGTAGCGCGCCAGATTCAGCAGGTCATACGAAAGCACTAGCCCATCACTACCGGGAAGAGGGTATGAAAATACTGCGTATAGCTCAGCGGATACCTATAGAGATGGCATCCGATGATTTTCTGGCGGCGGGTTCGATGCTTTCCTGGGCCGATGTGAATTTCTCGTTCTTGTATCGTCAAGTCACTGACAGCGTGCACAGTTCCTTGGGGCAAACCCCAGCTGGGGAGAAGTCTTGAGGATCTGCCATGCTTCCATCCGGTATCGCGGTGGCTGCGAGGTGATACTTTTTGGGGTCAACGGTACAGCAGCTCCGACGCCACTGGCCCAGACGCTCATCGAGTTCTTCGTCTTGGTCGATGTCTGCTGTAAGCACTATCGTCATATCGCATGACCCGAGCTGATGATATGTACATAGCCTCCTTGGGAATGGGCAAGCCATGCGTCGTGTTGACGGAAGCTTCGGACTGGTGGTGGCGTCTTCGACCTCAAGACCCCGACGCACCTGACGTACGTGATCAAACCATGCCATCGCTCATCGCTCATCATATTATACAGTCCTTTGAGCTTGGTTTCGGCTGGAGTCGCGACCTCGTGATGCTCATCGTCCGTCTCATCAACCTCCTCGCCGAAGCCGCCCACCTTTCCAGCTACATAACCCCTCCACCAATCCACGCCCTCCCCCTCGGCCGTCCCGATTACCCTCAACGAGTCCTCGATATCTGCTCTGCCCTCGATACGTGGAGAAGAGACATTTACCCGACAGTCAAGACCAATAGGGCAAGAGGCGGGTCGTTGGCAATGTGGTATGGTTTGCAGATTATGTTGTTAAGGGAGCTGTTGGGAAAGGGAAGGGAAGACGCGGTGGTACAGGCGCATGCGGACGAGATCTTTTCCATCTGTGAGACCATTGGAGCAAAGCTGGAGGGCATGAACTGGGTAAGTCTGTCTCATGTATTCTCCAAGCGCATAGCTAATGATAATGCAGCCTCTGACAATCGCCTGCTCTGTCGCAGTCGACCTTCAGAAACGGGAGCGCGCCCGCCGAGTCATTTCTTCCTTCATCTACCAACTATCCTACGAGCTTCACGCTCTCGAAACAGTAGTGGAAGAGTGTTGGCGGCGGATCGACGCGGGGCAGGATGACGAGGCTTGTTCGTGGAGGGTGATCCCTGTAGAACTTGGATGTGCTGTGCCTTTGGGATAAGTACTTTATGGAAGGGGGGTATAATTTTGCATGTTGTATAGCAAGTATTAGGGAAGGGAACATGTAGTGCGTGTCAGGAAACTTGGGAGGAAACAGGTGTCCTCGACTTCGTCGTCGGCCCAGGATGTGGGAAAGTCGTCTTCCTCTGATCGCAAGAATGGCAACTCGCCGGGGCTTTGGCGTATGGTCAGTGGGGCTATTGTCCGGGACAGAAATGGTTCTTACCCGTCTTCGAATTTGAAGCCAGTATTCGCCAGAGTCGCCTCTGCCTTCTGGACCACGGCCACCTCTTCTCCATCCGACTCGGGCTCATCATCCACGATCGGCGATTCCTCCGGGCTATCACGTCCATCAGTCACCCTTCCTCTCCACATCATATTCTAGACATACATGAAAGATTGCCTCAGAGGAGAAGGTACAATGGGATAATTCCCAACAAGCTGCCTGTAGGATGTCGACCTGACGCCGTACATGAGGGCGCGCTCTTTGAGTGATGCACGGTATTCGAGCAACAGTGTTCTTCGGGTTCGGCAATTCACTTCGTGCTGCCTTTCTTCTTCTTTTTCCTCACTGTGCCGAGCCCGTGTTATAGGATTCCTCATCGGGGTGAAGGCTGACTACTCACCTGACCGCCTCCTGCTGCTCGATCTTCGTCAATGAGGACATTTTCTGCTGCACTTTGCTGTTGTTGTGGATAGGGCTTGTGGTTGGTTTGAAACGTCGTGGAAGATGAATGTAATATTGTGGTGGGTAGATACTATTCTGAAGGACATTCGGAGGGTTATATATGCATCGGGCACAGCTGAGGAAGCAGAAACCAGTTTCCGCTGCACCTGCGGAATCGCGGCGGAAATGAAGTTGAGTGAAACTCATCAGGGGGCCTTCTAAGAAATCGTTGAGCCGCACCTCCCGGTCCTCAAGCTTGGCAGCCTCCGGCTCCTTGTGCTCGAACGTCCTGCAGGCGCTCTCGGAGTTGGTCGAGCAGAAAGGCCCGGGAGGGAGGTACGAGATGGGGCTTCGAGGTGTTGGGCTTGAGCGCATTGGGATTGAGATGGAGCGAGGCCGTTTGTAAAAGGTTTTGGAGCTTCATAGAGGCTTTGCCGCTGAGAAAATCGTTTGACTGAAAGCATACCCGATGACACCCGACGAATGTGGCTCGAATACCTTTTGCAGGCGCTCATCTGGCAAGCGGAAGGGCAGCCATGCGACCCCATTGGGATCGGGTACTTCGTAGAGGAGCGGCTTGCGTTAAGGGCGGAAGAGCTGTCGCTGTACTCTGGCCCTTGGCCATGAGTCGCTCTATCATCGAGGCCATGTTGTTGAAAAGTGAGCGAACCTGAGATGACATCGAACTCGGCAGCCTGAGAATCAATTCGACAGTTCGCAAAATTACCCTGAATAACTAATTCTCAATCGTATAACGGTCAGTATGCTCGCTTGTCATTACTTAATAGTATTGCGCGGGAGACCAGGGTTCGATTCCCTGTTGGGAAGTTCTTTTTGCTTTCTGTTCTTTTTGCTTGCCAGGCTCATCATCCTCACCATCCTCCATCTCCCCCCCCTGAATCCTCTTCCATTTGCCCGTCTTCGGGGTCTTGATCCCTCGCCTCATCCTCATTACTGGGCGGGACACACCATCGTCATCATCGATGGCCGCGGTACGAGTATCATTGAACAACGCGTGAAGTTGCGGGGTGGCGACCTGGTGGCGACGGCGCTCTATTGCAGCTCGGCTGAAGCCTAAGGGCGATACTCGCTCGTAAGGCATTGCTTAGGGATAGCTGGATAGCTTAGTTGGTTAGCATAGCTTGTATGAAGACTCCCCGCATAGCCAATTGTCCATTATATACATGACTGCTCTTCCAAGCAAATTAACTGAATCAAGTCGGCCTTCTCCTTCTCTATATAATAATGTCCATATCACTCTCCATATATATCGAAATGTCCATCGAAAAGCAGCTCTCTCTAGTTGTCTCTCCATATCTCCCCTACCTCAAACGGCACAGCTCCCGCGCATAACTTGTCGGTGCCAACCCGCCACATCAGCCAACAGCCCGAGGGCGCTGGTCTGCTCCAAACGCTCTTTTCCCTCAACGTAAAGGATAGCATGCCACATCAAATCGAGGCTGTTGAACACGATCTCATCGGGAGGGGGGGTGATGATAATTCTGGGGGGGTTCTTGCCATCGACAGTACTGCAAAAGTCAATCAGCTTTCCGAAAACGACAAAGTGGGTTGGGGAGGGGCTTACGTCTCGGGGAAAGGAGACAAGTCAGAACCCTTGCCCCGAGGGCGGTAGGCGGTTCGTCGGGCTTCGATGACCTTGCTCTGGAGCTCTGGGTCGTTGGTTCTGTTCAAACAGTCAGCGCTGGTTTACTTGTAGTGGAAGAAGTGCGACTTACTTGGCTTTGGGCTTGGGCTTGGGACTGGACTTGGTAGTCTTTGACTTGCTGGGCGTGGGAGGTGGGGAGGCAGCTGGGGAGGCAGGAGCAAGGGCAGAAGCAGAGGCAGGGGCAGAGGCAGGAGGAGTCTGCGCACGCGGCGCCCGGCGGAGATTATAGGTTGATGTGACAGGAGACTTCTGGACGGCCATTGTGTTTGGTTCGGTTCGGTTTGTTTCGTCTTTGGTGGATTGTGGATTGGGAGTGGGGGTTGTGGATGAGAAAGAGAGAAGAGAGATACGTTTGGGGCCAGGTATATATCTGCCTGTCGCATACCCGCCGTGGTTCATGTCCACAGCACTTGTTCCGCCGTTTCCCGCAAAGTACCCACCTTCCTTGGAAATTCTTGTGGCGATGGTACATCGCTGTTCCGCCGAAAGTACAGAGTTGAGGTAGTGATCGGTGAGGGTGGGATGCTTGGTGATGCCATGGACGGCCGATGCAAGTCCAAGGACGATGATGTGGGGTGATATGCACGAGAAGGAATGAGATGGGATGGCGAGGCTCGGCCTATGCAGTAAACATGCTTTCATAGCTTCATTCTCTCACCAATGTGATAATATACAACCCCCCGTGCCCTCTAAACAACGACCAACCCTTTCCCCACCACCTCCTCCGCCAACCCCTCCACCCTCCTACAAACCTCCCCAACCCTCTCATCCCACCTCTCCCCCCACCCAACCTTCTCTACCTCCTTCTCCGCTTCCACCACATTCAACCCCCCGGCCGTGCCTCCTTGCTCTGCATCGAGGGCCTGGTGGGAGGGGGGAGGGTGGAAGAAGAGGAGGTTGTTGGGCTGGTCGATCCAGCCGGCGAGACGGGATTGTTGGATCATGAGGCGGGCCGTGCGTTCTGCTATGGAGGGGGGGAGGGAGAGGATGGAGCCCAGGGAATCGAATGAGATATTGTCGTACACCTGTCTCAAGTCAGCAGGACCCGGGGAAGAAGAGGAGGGCTTACCCTGGCACAAGCACCGACATTGTGTTCCCTAATCGCTCGTTCAAGGACCGTCCCGCCACCTTCCACAGTCGCCCTCTGATGCCCCTCCAGACCACTCTCAAACTCTCGCACCTCCTCCGCCCTTACGATCCACCCTTCCAGCATCTTCTTCAACATCTGTCCCAGCCTGCCCGGCAGCTCTTGGTGCACGCGGTCGTCCCTGTTGAGGGAGGCAAGTATGCGGGATCGGCGTGGGCCGGAGGGGGCGAGGATGGCGGTGGTGACGGAGGCGGAGAGGATTTGGAGACGGTCTGTGGGGTCGATGGAGGGTTCGAGGGAGAGGGTGTGGTATGCCTGGGCGGCTTTGTCGAATTCATTGGAAAAGTCGGAGAGTTTGGCCTTTTGCTCTCGTCAGCTTTGCACTTGCATACGGAGGAGACGTACAGCTGCGAAGCGCATAGCGAGACGGGTCTCTTTGTCCTGGGGAGGAGGCAGGTTGGTAGCCCTGTTGTAGTATGTCAAGGCCATACCCCATTCACCGCACTGCTGCCGCATCAGCCATCATCATCGTCTGTATGAGAAGCCGTACCTCGAGGAAGAGGCGGACGATGGACATCCATAGCTGGAGCTTGTCGTTCTCCGAAACCATGCGGGAACCACTGTCGACCTGGATGGCCATGAGCGCGCGGGCGGCCCCTTCATAGTCTTCCTCGAGCGTGAGGAGATGCGAGTTGAGATGTCTCAGAACGGCCACCTGTCGCCTGTCAGCCATGTCGAGCAGCCTCAGCAATACGCACCTGCTCATCACTTCCCCCAAGATTCCCGCCCTGCAATATCCCCTCCACCACCTCCCGCCTGGCTTCCTCACCCTTCTCTCCCTGGAACGCCTGCTTTCCCAGCTCCTCCCACTTGGCCTTGTCCCCCTCTCCCTCTTCGTCCAGCGGTATTGTCGCCGTCCCCTTCAGCTCCAGTGTCGTCCCCGCCGTCACCGCCACGAGGAATGCCCCCGGGACGCGACGACCGAGGGCGGAAGTGATATTATTTCCGCCGGCAAAGTGTTCGGCGAACGCAATGTAGGATGCCGAGTCGTGGGGGTGGTCCGAGAGAATGGAGGCAAGGAGGGAGAGGTATGCGGTGGGGCGGGTGGCTTGCGGGGAGGAGGCGGCGGTGGATAGGGCTGAGGAGATGTCCATGGTGGGTGATGATGTGGATGAGAGATGGTCAAGTGTGCCAGAGAGCGTTTTGGGTGCCATGCATGGGGCCGCCTCTGACTCTCTCCCAGTCTACTCTACTTCATCCCGCCCATGCATACGCCCGCCGACGCTGCCGCCGCTGCTCCCCACGGCACCCCGCCCGCCGTCACCAGCGTCGTCGGCACCCCGCCAAAACACCTCCCTCCACCCAAATCCTCCAATTTTGTCTCGTCTCCATCACCCTTCTTCAACACCTCAAATGACCTCAAACGTTGCTGCCCAGCCAAGTCTGTTCGGCGACCCCTCCGTCGCAAGTGCACCCCTGCCCTCAGGCAGGAAAATGAGCTGATGGGAAAAGCAGGACCATGCGGTGGCAGGACTCGGCGCAGGGACGGTGGCTACCCTCGTCATGCACCCCCTCGACTTGGTCAAAGTACGCTTCCAACTCGCCAACTCGGCCTCTCAAGTGGCATCATCATCAAGCGGATCAACAGGTGGTTTACAACGGCATGTATCAAAACCCAGGTTCGGGACGGGAGTGTTTATGGCTCTGCGCGACGCGGTGCAGGTGGATGGATGGAAGGGGCTTTATAGAGGTCTGATACCGAACTTGGTAGGGGGCGCTGGGTCTTGGGGACTATATTTTCTTTTGTGCGTACCCTGAAGTATTTGTCGTTTGTGGAAAGAGCTGATTGTTCTGGATAGCTACAACATGATCAAGAAAGAGATGCAGGGCGGCGACCCAGCGTACAAGACGAGTAGTGGTCAACATCTGTTAGCTGCTGCTGAAGCTAGTACGTCTCTATATTTCTCGCTCGGATATTCTCTTCGGACCGGGGATATATCAAGATGCGTAGAGGGCAAAGCTGACGAAGAAACAGGCGCAATAACAGCAATGATGACAAACCCCATCTGGGTCGTGAAAACAAGAGTCTTTGGGACAGCCAAGAATGATCCAGCAGCCTATCGGGGTCTATGGGGTGCGTCCTTTCTCTTTCTCTTTCCTCGTATCCCAATTCACCACTAACACTCCGTTCGTCATATAGACGGCCTGACATCGATATACGCAAAAGAAGGTCTCCGCGGTCTCTACAAAGGCTCCCTCCTCGCTCTCGTCGGTGTATCCAACGGGTCTATCCAGTTTGCGGCGTATGAAGAGATCAAGAGGAGACGGACGGAGGTTAAGAAGCGGTTGTTTGAGCTGGAAGGCAAGACGTGGGGCGCGGGCGATGAGAAACTTGTGAGTTCTTCTGTAATTGTGTTGTGGAGGCGGAGGTCCGTCTTGGAACAGCGCTGACAGGAGGATTAGTCGAATATAGAGTATATTCTGGCATCAGGATCTTCGAAGCTTGTGGCTATCGCTCTTACATACCCCTACCAAGTCGTTCGCGCCCGTGTCCAAGTACGTCTTCCCTTCCCCTTCCCCCTCCCCCATTCCCCTTCTCCTCTCCCTCGACCCTCAACTGACCCCCCAATCACAGAACTTTTCCCCAACCCCAACCCTCACCAAACCCCCTCCCCTCCCCCACCTCATCTCCTCCATATTCCGCCAAGAAGGCTTCCTCGCATTCTACAAAGGCCTCGGTACGAATGCGCTCAGGATCTTGCCGGGGACGTGTACGACGTTTGTTGTTTATGAGAATTTGGTGTGGGGGTTTAGGCGGGTTGCTGAGCGGAATGGGGGGGAGGAGGAGTTGAAATAGGGAGGGATAGATGAGGAGAATGAGGACATCGGGAGTTGGGGAGGAGCAGGAGAGAGGAGAGAGGAGGGAGGAGAGAGAGGCATTTGCACCCCGGTTACTTTACTGCATTTACACCATCATCAAGTATAGATTTGTACCCCTATAGTAATCAATTCTGTATTCAACTGGCCATCTTCATAGACGATACAATCGTTCATCAAACTCAATTGGGACCAACAGTGCGAGCGAGTACGGCTTGTGTTTTGACTACAACAACTTTTTTGTGCTACAAGTCATCGTCGCTGTATAAGTACAACACTCCTCTCTTCATCTCCTAAGTACGCTTGATTCCCAGCAATGCCTTAATCCCCCTCATCTCCGCCGCCAGCGTACCATCCCTCCGCTCACCGACGGGGAAAACTCTTGCTCGCTCGAAATCGATCAAGCACAAGCTCCCGTGTGGCGACAATCAAGGTCAGCGTGGACGACCCGAACGGTGTGGAGCGATTCATCTAGGTCCAGGATTGCGAGCCTAAGATATTTTCCAGTCAGCATTTGTTTGTGAAGTGGTACATGTGAAATACTTTGTTGCGTGAGGGAGCGATTTCAGCTCCTCTTCGTTGTCGCAGAGGGCGTCGCCCACCGTTTTCAACATCAGGAAATAGATTTCCAAGGTGCCGGACCCGATGTACATCGCACCTTGAAAGGCACCCAAACACAGCGGCACGGATTTACCTTGAAGGCTTGAAAGGGCCCCAGCGTAGAGGCTTGTCTCTGTCTTCCAAGCATCAATCGCCTGCTCGCCGTTTTTCGTATCCCGTCTCCTTGCGTTCATCTGCTTCTTCGTCAAAGGTGAGGAGGCTCATGACTTTCAGGACGAGCGGTGGAAAGTTGTTGAGACGGGGGGACCGAGTCTTGAGGAGCCGGCGGCTGGATGATCGAGTAAACGTCAGAGAGGCTGCCCCAGTCAAGGAAGGATGCGATGGAAAGGGCGACGTCGACTGTTATGGTCAGAGTACAGCGGACTGATGGGGGCAGATTCTTCGACAAGTGCAAGAGACGCAAGATCACTGTCAACCCATCTGTAAATGGCAGAGGCGGACAGACCAACTTGAGTAAAGAAGTGTCTGTTATGCAGTCGTGTCGTGCTGGTATGCCGTAACAGTCACCGCTGAAGTGAAAGCGGGCCCACACGGACTAATAGTACATCATAAGACTGCCAGCGGCATAGCCAGTATAGCGGGCATTTGGTCGCTCACCGAATGACAGATACTTTTCAGACTGAGCGCGTTCTCCGAAGTTACCTTCCAGTGATCTAGCCTCTTCTTCATGGCCACTCTCAGTACATTCTTTGCTTGATTGAGATTATCATTGCCATCTCCTTCTTCAATATCTTCGTGGCCGGGGGCCCTCTTTGGGTCGACAAACGGATGCTGAGGAGCGGCTGCGTTAATGGTCTGGTCGCCCATCGTCGAGAAAAGGTTGAGGGGGCAAGGGCGTTATATGGTAGGGGTAGACGGTGCAGTAGATGTAGCTGTGATGTTAAAGAGAGAGAGGTGAAATAGAGAGAAGCCAGCACAGTTGACAGTGGCGGCATCCGCGACTCTGCGAATACTCCTCGTCTAGGCGCGTTGTAATTTCTTCAAGCAGCTCCGTCAATACTTAAGTGACATAGACTGACGAGCCCTATTGATCTATGTCTCGAGCTTCAATGTATGGGGAGGTAGAGAAGGTCTAATACGACGTCACTTTGCGCCTATAAAGGTATGATATATGCAGTGTCCAAGATGTGGAGATCGCAGAAGCAGCATGAGCTTCTCTATACATTGATGGCACCAGGTCGGAGGGGCAAGGGACGGGATGCTGAGGGCTGGAGTTGTATGTAATTGAGTAGGGTATATGTAGATGCGAAAGCACTTTTCGTTGGAAGCCGAGGCGCACGCCGGCGCTGGCCGATCATGTATCTTCTGTTTGTTTGGTTCTCCTGACGAACGCTTAAGCCATAATTGGCGATACTGTACTATATATGCGGTATTCTCAAACCCCCAATGCTATATGAGAAGCCACAGCCGTAGAACTGCCCATGCCTTCTTGTCCAAACTCTACTCTCCAAAAGGGGGATTGGTGCATAGTCGACAATCATGACGGCGTATCAGGAGGAAAGATACAACCCTTTCCCATGTCCGATATCGCTCTACAACTACCAACGCCAGCCGCTTCATGCTACGCCGTTGCCAGTCAGGACTCAAGCCCCTCAGTTGAGTACCATTGTTCGTGTGTCGGAGCTCGAGGGTGGGGTGATTGAGATGGTGATATGAATGGGAGCGAAAAGAGCTGTAAAGACATGTGAGTATCAATACACCTTGTAATACCAAAATGACTCACCTAGACTCCAAGCTACGACGTCCAGCTTCAACATATCCTCAAATGCAATGACCACCCCCCGCGGTCATCGCAGGATCCAGCTTCACAAAATTAAACACCTTCTCCATCTCCTTCTGATCCACATCATGCTTATCCCCCGGCAACTCCTTCTCAAGCCATCCAAACGCCGCATCCTTGAGGGCATCGGCCTGCGGTACATGAATCTCCACGCCCGGCCTGGGAAACCTCGGCTCCGTCCCTGCACCCGCAGCCCGCAAGCGTGCGCGCCCTGCGAGGTACTTTGCGACTATCTCAGTCGCTTCGTCGAAAAGGAATGGCTCGGCGGGGTTGGTGGGGTGAATGACGACTCTGTGACATGGGTAATTCATGTTTCGATTCAGGATGAGGGGCAGGCGCGAGCGGAGGTCGGCTAGGGAAGGACCATCTTTTGCTGGTAAATGGACGCAGATCGTGGTCCTCTTTTGCCGTGTAAAAACTTCGTTTGAGACCAATTGCCCAAAGCTATACAAGCGCAGGTTTTCATTCTTCGTAAACGGCCGGTCGACGTGAATGACGAGTTCTTCAAAATCGCTGCCAATCTCCTGGTCCATCGCGAGTGTATTCCCCAGATCTTTGCGGGGATACTTTTTCTCCCGCGCGAGCTCTTCGGTGATGGAGGCGATGGTGGCAAAGGGTAAGAGGGAGATTTCGATCTGCCGGACGTGTCGGAACAGCTTAATGGGGTGGCGCTGGGAGGCAAAGTAGTCTCCCGGTATTCGCCGTCTCCTGTGCTGGATATATACCCATCCGAAATCGAGGGAAAAGCCGACCCACGTCCGCAGGTCGTCAAACCGGATAGACCGGGCATAGTACAACGGCAGCAAAGACGCAAGGCATTGGTCTTTCTGGGTCGTCTAGTAGAAGCGCTCTTCGAGGGCTTTGTCGATGAACAGCGGCCGGGAGAAGAGGTCGACTGCGTGGGAGTTGTGCGCTTTGGAGAGGAGCATGTACTTTGTGGGCGCGAGGTGGAGGAGTTCGCGGAAGATGAGGTAGTGGACGGGGAAGAGGGGGGCGAGAGTGGTGATGGAGAATGCGGGGAGGGCAGGCGGCCGGGGTTTCTTGGGCGCCATCGTGGCTGATTTGTGAGATGCAAACGAAAGTGACAAGAAGAGATCCGACTGAAGAAATGGTGACGACGGAAGCGCAGCGAGGAGATCCGACATTGCCGTGTGTTATTTGGTTCCGTCCGTCATCAGTCCGGACATTCACATGTCGGACTCGAGCGGTTCTCTTGCCGCTGTGCCTCATAGACTTTGAAGGCGGGAGACTTCGGGGATGAGGAGCTAGCCGAGGAGTTGATGACAGTGAGGTCCATGCTGGGGTTGGAGCAGGAGGTGTAATGTCATGAGCGACTCTTATGACCTAGTGGTATGATGTATGCATTCCAAGATGAACATCGTAGAAGAAGCTTGAGCCACTCCCTCAAGCAACATACTTGAGCACCCCCCGATCATCCTCATCCCTCTCTAAAAACTCTCTTTCAATCAGACTCTCTACCCTCTTCTTGATCTCCTTTACATCCGGCGGGAACCTCTTGCTCACTTCGCCTACCACAGCGTCGATAAGCAGCTGGAGGGACAGGCGTTTACGGGCCTTCATGAGCCGGACGAGGGTGGCTTCGAGGATGGATGTGCGGTCGAGGGAGATTTGGTTTTGGGTGGATTTGGATTCTTCCGCCTGCAAACGTCATCAGCCTGACACTTGGGCACCGAGAAAGATGAGGAAGAGGCTTACGCTGATGTCTTGCTGGATACCGTTGATTCTGAACTTGAACTTGTCCCCAGAGAAAAACTTGTTCCACCCAAACACATCGCTATCCTTGACCTCTTTCCCTGGCGGTTTCTTGAGCAACACTCGCGTCCCCTTCTTTCCGAGCGCGAGGGACTGAAGTGTGGGTGCCATTTCGTTCACAGCTGACATCTCGCTTAGCTCTGTACTTTCAACAAAGAGCAAGAAGACTTACGGATCCCACTCCTCTCTCTTATGTCTTTCACGGTCAAATGATCATTATCATTGAACATGATCAACACCACCGCCTGATACAAGCTCACCCCGATCTCATACCTTTTCTCTCCACCCTCCGTCCCCTGTCCAAACCGCGCCGTCATAGTAACACTGCCCAAACCCCAGCGCCACGCGAGCACACGGTTCTTGTACCTGTCCTTATACCAAGTTTCAAATGACGCAATGTCATTCTGCAACACTTGCGGGAGACGGAAGGGCGAGATGACGGGTGTTGTGGTGGTAGTAGTGGAAGTGAAGGAAGAGGAAGAGGAGGAAGCTGGCCAGGCGGATTCGGTGAGGACGTTTGTGGTGAAATTTAGGTTGGACGTTGGGTTGGCGGTTTGGTATGCTTTTACCAATCTGCTTGGGTCGTCAGTAATGCGTGTCGAGATGGAGGAGAGGGGAACGTACGTCTCTGAAACCTGCAGATCCTTCATCATAATATCGCCCGCCGTAAACTCTTCGCCCATCTCCTTTTGCAGCATCCTCACCAGGCCCTTCTCACTCTCATCACTCGCGCTCTTGCTCAGCAGGAGACGTTTGGCAAGGGAGCGTCCGTAGAACGCTTTGAACACGTCTTTATCAAGGAGCAAACCTGAGAGATGGACGATCTCGGATAGGTGAGATTGGAACGAAGGGACGTCGTCGGATGGGACAGTGCTTGAAGAAGGCGGCTTGACCGATCCGCGCCGCATCACCCTGTCGAGATACTTTGCGACATACTCTGCCGGCACCGCTTCCCTCTTCGCCAAACCCGCCTTGAAACCCGTCCTCACACTCTCATAGAGCTCAAAGTGGTGTTCTTTCGCTAATTTGTCGCCGATGCCGGGAGTGAATGTGGGGGACATGAGGACGTCGCCGTCAGAGTCGAGTAGAGGGGCTTTGCCTTTGTCGCCGAGGGTGGCGATGGAGTGAGGGAAGAGCAAGTCGATAAGGTAGTTGATCTGCCGTCGCAGCGCCAAGAGATCCCAGACCATCAATTCTCCATCCACCGATTCCTTCTCTTTTTGGCCCTTCGCGGTCGCGCCCCGGAGTACGATCTCGCCCACCTTTTCTTTACAAAAGCTCTCCACAGAGGAGGCGAGAATGGCAAACTTTTTGACACTCGCCGCGTATTGCCACACTTCTGAAAGTGCTTGGTGGTCTGGAGCGAGGGAGAGAGCGTGGTAGACGGCAGAGAGGATGATGCCGCCGTCTTCAACTTCTTCATACGTCACTTTGAGGATGTTGCCACCGATTTCCCGAGCAAAGGCATGGTTGACACACCATTCGGCTCGGGATAATTCTTCATTAAAAGACTGCAGGTGCCAGGAGATATACGCCGCCG